CATGCCGGGGGTCTCCAGGGCGTGTCGTCTTGGGGACTGAGCCCTTAACCTGTGGGGTCTGTGCTGACTCCCGGTAGATGGTGTCAGAATCAAACAATCAGAGAGGTGGAGAGCCCCTTGGTGTCGAAGATGGGAGCAAAACCCGTTCCGATCTAAACGAGATAAAACATCACCATGTGGCGCGAAATAAAAGTTTCCTGAGAACATCACATCGTATCCTTGAACTAAACAATCTACTACGTACATACACGCGGACACATGTGAGGAAAGGATTTTCTGAGGCCTGGAAGTAAGCAACGTCCCCTCCCACACCAGGACTTCCTTCCCGGAGGTGGAAGGGACTGTGACGCGGGAAGGGGCAGCACCGCTGTTGCCTGACCACGCGACACGCTCTGGTGTTAGACGCATTCAGTCTTTTATAGGACAGCGGAGCCAAAGGTGGGTCTCAACACATTTCCTTGCGAAGCTGCCGTCCTGGAGACCAGCCTGGAGCCCAGCTCGCCGCCTGCCCGTGGCTCTCCTCCGCTTGGAAGCTGACCGCTGCCTCTTCAGTTGAGCAGCAGGTAAAGGGGTGCTTAGGCTCCCAGGTGTGCTCCCAGCACAGCCCTCCCCAGGAGAAACTTTCAGGGGCCAAAGTTCACCCTAGGCTTGTGATTTTCCAGATAGAAGTTCCTGTTTTCCTCTTTCTCTGTCCTTCCTTTTCCCCTGGGGGCGAGGGAAGCAGAGACAGGAGTTAACGTCAACCAGATCGCACAGTCGGTGGCTCTTTAAGGGGACACCCCTTCAGCTGAGACCCCAGAAAGGAGTTGGAATCAAGGAGGGGAGCGGAGGGCAAGGGCCACCAGGCAGAAGGAGCAGCACAACCCCCGAGACAGAAGCTGTGTGTCCCCCTGCAAGTGCTGGAGATGGCCAGAGCGGCAGGAGTCAAAGATAGGGAGGACATGCTAAGAGGAGGCTGGAGAGGTCAGCAGGGCCTTTGAGGCCCCACGAAGGGCTGGGCTTTTACTCCCGGGCACTGGAGAACCACGTAAGATTTCAAGTGGGGACCTGATACCGCTGGGTTTGCATTTGATGAAGAGAATGCGAAACAGGCCTGCCCTGTCGGAGGGATGGGTCAGCGACGTTCATAGGACCCAACAATCATGTGAGAGAAACACAGACACTCAGGCTCCCCTTCCCAGCAGGAGTGACCTCTGAGAGGAGACAGGCCAGGGCTGATGCAGCTGCTTTATGGCTACAAGGGGGCAGCCTATCAGAGAGGAAAGCCAATGCACAAAAGAGCAGAGCTGAGAGACTAGACAGGAAAACTGGATCCTTGTGATGCTTGTGTGCCCCTCGATCAAGCCGGACCTGAAGCCCACACGAACGCCTATGTGTTGCATGGTTCTGGCTGCCATGACAAAATGACACAGACCGTGTAGCGTAAACTATAGAAATTCGTTTTCTGGAGGCTGGGAAGTCCAAGATCAAGGGGCCAGCCCATTGGTTCTTAGTGAGAGTTCTCTTCCTGGCTTCTCACTGTGTCCTCACTTGGCAGAGACAGTGCTCTGGTATCTATTCCCTTTCTTGTAAGGACATCAGCCCTGTCAGATTAGGACCCCACTCGTTTGACCTCATTTAACATTTATCACCTCCTCGCAGGCCCTTCGTCCAAATACCGTCGCACTGGGGTTACGACTTTAACATATGAATCTATAGAGATACAAACATTCAGTGCATAACACGATGTGAGTCAGTAAATACCCTTTATCCTTAAGCCAGTCCCAGTTGGAGTTACTGTCCTTGGAGTAGATAAACTGCAGGCTAGAGGAGGGGGGCGGAGATGGAGGAATCAAAGAGGACAAGTAGGTTTTCAGCTAGTGCAACGTACAGCTGCTCATAATAAAATAATTATTATATGTATGACATATGCTATCTACATAGGCACCAGACTGTAATGCATGATAAATAATATCACATAGTTGTTATTCATGATGATCAGGTCAGCGAAATGGATGAAAATTCTTACGGAGTTACAATACCGTTATGTACTAAATCTTCACTGGGAGGTCCCGCTGCCCCCGTCTACCTACCACCTGATTTGTGCGCTATCCTATAGGCTGCAAGGTGCATGAGGCTTCGGGGAAAATTACAGGGTAGTTGTGCATGCACGAGACGGGCGTGGGAAACAGAGGCTGAGTGGTCCTGACCCGGGGTGTGCAGAAGAGTCTGAACATTTTGCTGCAGCAGATTGGCCCGTGTATGGTAGAAGTTTTTTATTTGTATTTTGTTCCGATTGGGCAGTACATCTTTTCAGGAGCAGGACACTTACAGAAATGGCGTCCACGTTTCATTTAAAAATCGGTTCTGAATCTCCATTTCTCAAAGCCAATTATGAAACTGAAACCTCCACAAGATATTTGTTGGCTTTTAGCTTCCACTGTGGGGGCCAAAGAGACGTCACTAGCCACAAGCCACACCAGACGACACAATTCTGACTCCGAAGCATCCCATCTATTTTCACAAGTCAGCGATTATTTTCAAGGACGGTGTCCAGAAATGGGTTAACCCATAAATGCAGTTAACCAGCTGCAGAAGTGGGCTGACCCGCCACTCCTGAAGTCATGACTTTGTTTACAGCATATGACTTGTTCTACACTCATTTCACTCGTTTTTCTAAAGTATTTTAAGATTTTATTTATTTATTTGAGAGACAGAGAGCATGATCAAGGGGAGGAGCAGAGGGAGAGGGAGAAGCAGTCTCCCCGCTGAGCAGGAAGCCCGAAGCAGGGCTCGATCCCAGGACCCTGAGATCATGACCGGAGCCGAAGGCAGAGGCTTAACCCACTGAACCACCCAGGCGCCCCAACTTCCTTATAATTTGCAGCCCCCTGATAAATACCTGAGACAGCAGAGTATGACACTCAAGGAATTCGCTACCATCTTAATGCTTTGCTAGAGGCAAAAAGCAACTTTAGCTGGACAACCGCCAGATCTTCACGATCCTTTAAGTCTTAGAAACACATGAATATCCATTTGGAAATTCCGTTACCTCTACTCCTCTCCCAACTTAAAAGTACATAATCCATCGCTCCTCAGGACCCCAGTACAACTCCTTCTGCCCACGGGTCCTGCCCTGTGCTTTAATAAAAACACCCTCTTGCCCTGAAAACACCTGAAGAATTCTTGACCATTCACTCCTGGCCCACATCACATCACGCAACCTTTTTGTGAATGCTAAACAGCTAGGGGTGCCTGGGTGGCTCAGTTGGTTGTGTCTGCCTTCCGCTCAGGTCATGGTCCCGGAGTCCTGGGATCGAGCCCCACATTGGGCTCCCTGCTCAGCGTGGAGGCAGCTTCTTGCTCTGCCTCTGCCTCTCTCTCAAATAAATAAAATCATTTTTAAAAAATGCTGCTCAGGGGCGCCTGGGTGGCTCAGTGGGTTTTAAAGCCTCTGCCTTCGGCTCAGGTCATGATCCCAGGGTCCTGGGATCGAGCCCCCCATCGGGCTCTCTGATCCGCGGGGAGCCTGCTTCCTCCCCTCTCTGTCTGCCTCTCTGCCTACTTGGGATCTCTGTCTGTGAAATAAATAAATAAAATCTTTTAAAAAATAATTAAAAATTAAAAAATAAAAAATGCTACTCAGCTAAATTCAGTTAAAAAGGTGAACACCAAAGCCTTTTTTTTTTTTTTTGCAATGATAACACTCATATAAAGTTCAATGGGGGGTTCCCTGGGTGGCTCAGTGGGTTAAAGCCTCTGCTTTCAGCTCAGGTCATGATCCCAGGATCCTGGGATGGAACCCCACCTCAGCGGGGAGCCTGCTTCCTCCTCTCTCTCTCTGCCTGCCTCTCTGCCTACTTGTGATCTCTGTCAAATAAATAAATAAATAAATAAATAAATAAATAAATAAATAAGACTTAAAAAAAAAAGTTCAATGGGCACAGCACAAAGGGACCAAGGTTTTTACTAAAGTAAAAACCCCAAAGGCCAGAAGTGTACTTGGAACTGGATGTGGTTAATAATTTCATCCAAACAAGCTGAAAATTACAGCAATTGAATTAGAAATCGTAGTTGTCAAAATTCACATTTTTTCATAATTAGAGTAACTGAAGTACAAAACGTCCGTGACAAAGCTGGTGGCGGATACATAGAAGTATTTTAGCGCGGCAGGAACTTTTTCCCTGTGCCCTCACCAAGTGTGCTTTGGAAGTGTGAACCTTTGCACACCAACGTTACATGTCCCAGCGGGATTGAACAAGTCCCCGGAACCACTGCATTTTATCCAAACACAACTTAAAACTTTTAATCAAAGTATTCAGAAATGAAAGCACCAAAAAAAAAAAATAAATAAAAAATAAAAAAAATCAGCCTTCGCGCTTTTTAGCAAAGGTTGCAAAGTTGCAAACACGACAGTGAAACGCGGGACACCTTGAAAAAACAGAACGTCCGAAGCCTGGTTTTTGAAATTCTGCTAACTGCACTTAGAAATGCCTCCGCAACACTTCCACGGACAAGAACCACCGCGGGCTTCACTGAATAAACGTACGCGCTGAATCCAAACGCACAGAAATTAAGGGCCACGACTCTGCAGCTCCTAAATCTGGTGGATCATTCAGAAGAATCAAAGATCCCCTCCCACCCCCGGGGTCTGCGAGGCGTCAAAGGCGAGTCCACGCCGCGAACAGCCCACTCTCCAGGCCTCCGGTCCCTTTTCCGGACTGTGCGTGGACTCTCTTCCGTTTCCGACCGCGTGGACGCCGCACAACCTGGCTCCCGGCATCCCCCGGGACAGCCGCCGGGCGCGAGGGAGGAAACACAGCCCCCAGCCGGCGCGCGTGCGCACAGGCCAGCAGCGCCAAGCCCCCAACGCGCCGCACGCCCGCGCACCCCCCGCGCAGGCCCGCGCGTTCACGCATCACGCATCGCGCACGCGCCCCTCGGCCGGCCGGGCCTCCGGGCTCCGGGTCCGGCTCCGGGAAGTTGGCTCCCGGCGGCCCGCGGGCGGGGGCCGCGGGGAGCTCGGGAGGAGGGCGGGGCGCGCGCAGGCGGGCCGAGTCGGAGGGCCGGGCCCACGGGCTGCGGCGGAGTGGGACTGGGCGCTGGCGCTACCGCCATGGACGCCGACGCGGGGTCGGAGAACCCAGAGAACGGGGAGCGCCGCGACCCGAACCGGACTGCAGAGGAGGACGCGCGGGCCCGGGCCGAGTTCGCGGCGCTGCACGGCCCGGCGCTGCGCGCGTCCGGAGTCCCTGAGCGGTACTGGGGCCGCCTCCTGCACAAGCTGGAGCACGAGGTGCGGACGGGCGAGGCGCCGGCCGGGAGGACCGGGACGCAGAGCGGGGCCGGGGGAGCCGGGGCGCGGGGTGCGCGGACCCTTCTCCCGGGAAGGGCGTGGCTGCGGGCGGGCCGCTGGCCGAGAGCCGCCGGGGCGCGGCGCGGGGAGGCCGGGCCAGGGGCGCTGCGGGGCGGCCGGTGGACCCCAGGACGACTGGTGCGCACGGGGCTGGGAGGGTGCCCGGGGCGGGAGGGGAGCGAGCGCCTTGCCGGGCGGCAGAAGCCTCGGCCGCGGAGCGCAGGCCGGGGTGCGACGCGCCGGGGGCGTGGCCGTGTTGGGACGCGGCTGGAGAAACGCGCGGGGGGTGGCTGTGAAGAGCGCCCGTGCCCTGGTGACCGACTTAGACGTCGCCTCCTCGGCGGTTTAGGAGCTTCTAGACTTTGGGGCCCCGGTTCTGCCAGTGTCTGGGGCTGGCCGGGCTGTGTGTGCGGCTCCCCTGGTGTGTCGGGACCTATCCTGAGTTCTCCACACGTCTGCGTCCCGCAGCTTTGTCATCCCCATTATGCGGTTGAAAAAACTGAGTCACAGGAAGAGGAAGTGTCTCCCAAAGCCTGTCGGACTTGGGAACCTGTCCCTCGCTCTCAGTCACTGCCACCTTCAGGGAGAGCAGATGTCCCGAGAGTTTGTGTGGCTTTAACTGTTCGGGTCACAGAATTCTTTCTTGTCTCATCATTTGATTTGATCCCCGGTCACCCTCATTTTTGCAGATGAAAGAAAACAGATTGTGGGAGACGGAAATCTAAAGAAAAAAGGTTCCCATGCTTCTAGATTCTCTGCCCTTTTGTGGGGATGGCTCCCTTCTGCCCACCAGCCTTCTCTAGCTGGGCCTCCAGGGGGGTGCCCAATGGATACTGGCCAATGAGCAGGCCCTGGCTTGGGGTCATTTGCCCAGCTGCTGAAGCCAGAGCACATACACAGGTCCGTTAGGGAGGCCTTCTTAGCTGAAACAAGGCTCTTCTCAGGTGGGGGCCTAGACAGACTGGGGCAGGCGATGAAGTGGAGCCCCAGAGCCAGGAAGAGGTAGTCACCCCAGCCCAGCCGCCCCACAGAGCCCACCTTCTCAGCCAGGTTTTCTGTGTTAAATCAGGGTTCGCCAGGTAACTCTCTTGACTCTCTTGCTCCAAACCCACCGTTGCTTAAAAAAAAAAAAGACTGTCAGTGGCACTCAGTATGTCCCTGCCTCTTGAGAATCTCCTTCCCGTATGGCTCGCCCTCCACTCCACCAGTGTTTCCTGAGCCCTTAGCTCTGATCCCAGGCATATGCTGGGAACCTCCCCCAGTTTGTTAGGATAAGAAGAAGGTCCTCATTCTGGGTGAAAGGCACACGATGTGGGAACCCCCTGGGATAGCCAGCCTCTGGGCAGTAAACCCTCATTCGGGCAACACTGGTCCGTCTGAGCTGGAGTCTCCTGGAAAGCCCGATGGTGGAATAGGGCCCCAGCTCCCATAGTCTTAGAGGGGACCGGTTGGGGAGGCCTGAGACGAGCATCAGCTGGCACCAGCGCATGGAGGGCAGTCACCAGAGGGCAGCGTCCCCTCTGCCTTGGCTGCTGTAGCTCTACAGGGGGCAGCCAGTATTTTTCCATGACCCTCCCTTGCCGTGAGGGGTTATGGGCCGAGCTGTGAGTCATCACTTTACTAGACCCAAAACCTGCATCCATTGTTCTCGATGAAACCTGCCACTCTCCTCTGGGCCCAGGTGTGGGGGAGGGCACCTGCCAACAGGAATGGGGTACCTCCACCTCCCTGCAAGGCCATCGACCCTGGTGCCTTGCCTCAAATCAGTTGGAAAGGATGGGGAGTGTTTTAAGATAAATTCCAACTCTCCCAGCAGGAACTTCCCAGCTAAAGCCATTCCCCTTCGATACCTCTTAGGGGCTTTTCCTCCAGGGAGGGATTGTGGTCCCCTCATTTCACAGCACGGGGGGAAGGCAGACCCTCTGTCCCCAGGGCCTTAGGCTTCCTCACTGTGTGCCTCCTCCCTCCCCATATGATTTGGGGACGAGGACTGGGGATTTGGGTTCTAGATTGAAACCCAGAGTGAATTCCGGTCCTCTCAGCAGCTCCGAACTGGAGGGAAGGTAGCACCCCAGCCCCCCGCCCCCCGTTCTGACTGCTCAGGGATCCTGGCTTGAGGCAGCTCCCCTAGTCTTCGAAGGGCCCTGGTGTGCTCCACCGGTTCCACAGCCTTCCCTGCCCTCAGCTTCTGTATCCCAGCCTGGGGTCCTTGCGGGTCCTTGCACCACTGCCCCCAGCCACGTGTTTAGATCTTCCCCCGCTGTGCCGCTCAGCTCCCGTCAGGCCCCAGCACCGGGGACCTTGCGCCTCCCACCTTGCTCCGCCGTCGGCGGCTCCCTGGGCAAGATGGTGAGTGGTTCGGCCTCACAGGCTGGAGCCCGGCACCGAGAAGCAGTGTGTGCCTGAGTGAGGAGCTGGTTTGCATCTGCGTGAAGCTTCTTCTCTCAGGGTCCTGAGAAGTGCGTTTCGGGGAACTGGCTTTTATTGAGTCCCTGCTTGTTCCAGGGACTGTCGGTGCACTGTTTGTTGATTGAACACTCAGCTCTCCTGGAAGGCCGAGGATGCTTCTTCCCCAGGGAGAGGCTGCTCTCAGCTGCAGAATGGTGGTGGCGTGCTCACAGGGCATGGGCCGAGCTTAGTGTCCTCCAAGCCTGTGATATCTGTTTATCATTTCATCCTTCCCACAACCCTGGGAAGTCAGTGCTGCTGTTCCCATTGTATGGATGGGGAGACTGAGGCACGGCGTGGTTCAGTGACTTGTTCAAGGCCCCACGGCCTGGCTCCAGCATCTGTCCTAAGGCCCCTTGCCAAGTGGCGGCAGACACACAGTGCGGGAGTGTGGCTCAGGGGGGCAGGCCGGCTAGGCTTCGTGTGCATGTGGTTGGCAAGGAAACTCAAGGACCAAGGTCCTTATCTTTCTGACCCAGACCCTCAGGAGACCAGCCCAGAGCACACGCTGTACAGGCCCGAACCACTTCTCGGCAGGGCTGGCGCGGTGGCTGTGGGAGGTTCTCAGCCACATGTTTTCCTTCTGGGGCGCCTCTGCCGTCCTGCTGGAGGACTGGAGTGAGATCCCCGGCCCCGCCAAGATCCCAGCTCTCAGATTCACCTCTGGCCTGGCCTCGCGTGCCTGCAGCCCGCGTCTGAGCACACCCAGGACAGGAGCTGGTGACCCTGGTTAGGTCGCGGTTCTGGCTGATCTCCAGGAGCCTCAGTTTCCCCACCCGGAAAATGGGTGGTTGGGTAATAAACAGGACCTGCGTCCCCGAGGAGCTGGATTGGTCCTTGAGGCCAGGGTGTGGCGCTCTGTGAGGCGGGGGTTCTGGCCTGGGGAGCCTGCCAACACCTGCTCGTGGCCCCAGGTTTTCGATGCCGGGGAGATGTTCGGGATAATGCAAGTGCAGGAAGTGGAGGAGGAGAGTGAGGGCGAGGAGGCCCGGGAAGCTCGGAAGAGGCAGCCCAACCCTGGCGGCGAGCTCTGCTACAAGGTCATCGTGACCAGCGAGAACGGGCTCCAGGCAGCCGACCCCAGCAGGTAGGAGCTACAGGTCCGTGATCCGTGGTCTGTGGTCTGTGCCATGGTCCCAGCCATGGCAGGCCCTCGAGTTTGCCGTGTCCCGGGTGCTCATGGCCACCCGAGGTTCCAGCCGGGCCCCGTGGCCAGGTTGGCCCTGACCGCTGCTGACGTTCCCGTGTGAGTCATGTTTCAGACAGACCCGAGCGCAGCCTCCCCAGCACCTCCCCACCACCAGGAGGGTCCCACAGCAGAGGGGTGATGTGTGCTGATTTTGCCAGTGAGACGGGAAGGACTTGCCCAAAGTCACAGCTGGCCGAGAGCCGGGGTGTGGAATGCCAGGCAGCCTAACTCTCAAGCCTGGACTGTTTGGAGGACCTTCCCCCGGGCCCGCTGAATCCCAGTCTCAGGGGAGCCCAGGAATTGTAACAGGTTCTCCCAGGGCTTTATGCCCAGGCTATGAGCAATGTGGTCTCCTTGATTCCTTGGGAGGACACCAGGGCCCAGAGCAGGCCTGGCGTGGCCCTGGGCCTCGGTGTATATGGGGCACAGCTAAGACTGGACCCTGGGATTCCTGCCTCCAGCCACGACAGGCCTGCAGGCTCGTCTGCCAGACTTCGTTGGACCCTTGGAGAGGACACTTGCCAGCCTCTCAGGGTCCCCAGGCCCCTGTGTCCATAGCTCTTCGGGGAAGAGTCTGGCTGGCCTCCTCTTCTGCAGAGCAGCCTGTGAGGGGCGGGAGTGGTCACTCAGGGAACGACAGCAGCCGGTCCCCTCCACCTGCGGACTGTCTGACTCAGAAATTTGCAGGCTCACCGTTCACATTCAGCTCAGTGCACCTGCTCTGGGGCTTGGGCCCCAAAGCGACCTCCAGGAGCTCACTGCCCCTCCACACCCTTGAGCGCACACCTCCACCAGGTGGGCACCGGAGGGGACACGAGCGGAGTCCTGCCTTTGGTCTCAGCTCCTCCCACTCCACAGCCCTCCCCGCTCCCGGGCCTTTCTCCCTGCAGAGCTCTGAGTCTCCCCTGATTGCCAGACTCCAGCTTCATCCTCTCCCTGCTCCTGCTGTGTACGGCACAGTACTCCCAAGCATTGTCCCACCTTGAAGCGTGGCTTCCCGTGGTCAGAACCTCTGAGCACAAGCACTTGCTTTGCGCGCGCAGACGTACAGTCCTAGAAGCCCAGTGGAACAGGTGCTGTCGATTTTGCCCCTAGCCCAAGAGCTGGAGCCTTTGCTGTCACCCTGCTGTTCCCCCTTCCGGGGGAAGGGAGGTGAGGGTGGCTTTGCCCGGCAGGCGGACCACACCCCTGGGTGCCAGAGCTTCCTGTTCCGGCAGGGCTCTGGAGGGTGTCCCAGAAGCCCTGCCCTGAGGGGCGGGAGGGCAGGTGTGGCCCTGGGCCTGCCGTGGGAATGCCTGCCTGGTCCTCTGCGATGGCCCCACCCCTGGGCTCTTCTTCTTGCTGTGCCCGCCGGAGCCGGAGCGCCTTCGCATGCCTCCTCGCCACTGGCTTCCTGATGTGTGTGGCATTTGCTTTTCCTGAGCGCCCGCACCTGAGGTGGCAGGGTGGGGGGCGCGGCTGGTGCAAATGCAGCTGAAGGCGCTCACCGCGACAGCGATCGATGGGCACGATCAGCGAGAACACAGGGACTTGGTACAGGCAGCAGGTTGTGTGTTTTGTCTCCTCTGATTCTCACACCGGCCCCACAGGAGGTGCGGACCCCGTTGGTGTTTGCAGAAACTGGTAGAGGGCGTGGAAGCTCGCCAGGCCACAGCTGCAGGCCTTTCCCCTCTCCTCCCCCTCGTCTCCCAGGCAGACCCCCCCTGCCGGCCCTCCCCCCTGCCCTCGGCTGTGCCCGCAGCATCTTCCTCATCGACCACGCCTGGACGTGCCGCGTGGAGCACGCGCGCCAGCAGCTGCGGCAGGTGCCCGGGCTGTTGCTCCGTATGGCCAACCTGATGGGCATTGGGTTCCACGGCGAGCTGCCCAGCGCCGAGGCCGAGGACCTGGTGCTGGAGGAGATGTGGCGGTTCAACCAGACCTACCAGCTGGCACACGGGGTGAGCAGGGACAGCCCGGGGGAGCCAGGACCCAGCCCCAGGGGCCTCTGCCCCAGAAGTGAGCAGACTCTCCTCCCAGGGCCCCCCTTCTTCCCCAGAGCTCCCTCATGGCCCTGTTTCTCAGCCCCCGGCCACCCGGTTCTCAGGGCCCTTGAGCTCACAGGACATGACCTTCTCAGACCTCTAGACATGGGCCCCATGACTTGGTTCCTGTGGCCCAGTGCCGTCGGGTTCTGTCATCCCCTGAAAGCCCTCAGGGTTTGCTCACATCCAAAGAGTCCTGTCCCTTGAGCACACGTCCTCGGTGTCCATCACCACCTTTCCTGCCAGCCTCCCTAGACCCAGCCTCATGCTCTAGCCCCTCACCATTTTTAATGTTTCTCATGGTCTCAGACGTCACTTCCTCCAGGAAGTGCCCCTCGCCCTCTCCCTGCCACACACATCCATGTAGCCGGTAGGCTGTGTGTCTTCGTCCAGGCTCTCGTACCCGGTTAAGGGGCTTGGGTGCATGGTAGGTGCTCCAGGATCCGGGAGTTGGGGGCATGGGCTGGTGGGAGGGTGCCTGACAGAAGGGGCAGTGGCTGGACCAGTGGACACGGTTTCTGTGTGTGCTCTGCCTGCAGACGGCCGAGGAAAAGGTGCCGGTGTGGTACATCATGGACGAGTTCGGCTCGCGCATCCAGCACTCTGACACGCCCAGCTTTGCCACGGCGCCCTTCTTCTACGTGCCCCAGCAGGTGGCCTACACGCTGCTGTGGCCCCTGCGGGACCTGGACACAGGCGGTAAGTGCCACACCCGCCCACCCCAAAGGACGGGCCCAGGCCCTGCTTTCCCGCTGCCCCCTGATGGGCCATGTGTCTCGATGCAGAGGAGGTGACCCGGGACTTTGCCTACGGGGAGGCCGACCCTCTGATCCGGAAGTGCATGCTGCTGCCCTGGGTCCCCGCCGACCTGCTGGACTTGAGCTCTTCCACGCCCGAGCCGCCTGACGAGCACTACCAGGTGTGACCGTCTGCCCCTGACCTCGGGGCCTAGTGGCTTCTGGAATGTTCTTTGGCCACCAAATGCTACTGAGCGCCAGCTGGCTGCCATGTGAGGGAGTGAAGCGTTTGTGAACATTCGAGAGACCAGGAGCTCCGAGCTCAGGCAGTGAGCAGGAGCCGCCTGCGGCCGCCCAGCCCAAGTGCCGGGGCCCGAGGCCAGGGACCGTGCTGTCCGAGGGTCGGATCTAGGCGCTGGTGGTCAGTGCTGCTCTCTTCGTTTTCGGGGATTCCTTACCAGGACTGGCGGTGGGGGGCATGGTGTGCGCCGCAAGGCTTGGTTACAAATCCCAACTCCGTACTGTTTCTTCTTCCCCGTGGATGTGAAGACTCTGTTCGAGCGTCACACGGCGACTTCTCTGGCAGAGGCCAGAGCGAGTCCCACCATCATCGGTGCCGCTGTTACCCGCACCAGCGGCACTTTTCATCTGTGGCAGCCTCTTGGGCAAATCAGGGCGCCAGGGTTTGGGAGGCCCTGGGCCAGGGAAGAAGTGGAGCCTCTAGGAACATGGCCACTAAGAGACCAGGCAGGGCTGGACAGGGAACACCCTCCCCTGCCTTCTGGTCTCCTGCCACCGCCTCCTGTTGGCTGCTCGCAGTTTGGAACCAGGCCACGAGCAAGCCTGCAGTTGGCACCCGTGGGCGTGTGTGATTCTAGCCCTCGCGGCGTAAGGGCATGAGGTCCTGTTTCTGTCAGTCTTCACTGAGAATGAGGACACAGGCATAGAAAGGTTAAGTAACCTGCCAAAGGTCACACAGCTCATAGGAGAGCTGGGGTACAACCCCTAGGGCCCTGTGACGGCCCGTGGGCAGAGGCTACAAGACTTGCCCCACTGTGAAATCTGCCTGCCCACGCGGGCACATCACACATTCACTGAGGGCCCCAGCGGTTGATCAGAGGAGCAGCCCGGTTAGCTCGAGCGAGAATGGGAAGCACCGTGGGGTGTCAGCCGGTCTGCGGGTGCTGTGGTTGGGGAGAGGCTGGGCCGTCGTGGTGGGACCTCCTGGCACCTTTCCCGGGAATTCCATGTAAGCTGGTAGTGGTTGGACTGTCCACACAGGAAGCTGCGTGGTCACTTGTCTTGAGTCCGTGGCGTGTTTCAGAGCCCCATAGAGTAGTGGTACCTGTAGGTGCTTAGTAAATGAGTGCGTGAGGAAGAGGAAGCCTTTGGAGTGGCTTAGGGCCGGAGGCTTCCTGATCTTGGGTGGCTCCAGCAGGCAGGGCAGCGCGGGGCCAACCCTGGGTGTCCCACCAGAGGTGGAACTCGAGGAGGCGGAACTCGAGTTGCCGGAGCATCCTGGTCACTTGTCCCCATCTGACTATCCAGCTTGGGCCTGTGCTCTGGGCCCCGGGGGTCGCTGGTATGAGTTCGGGATCACGGGATACACAGCACACGTTTATCATCCTACACGCTTTCTGTGGACAGGAGGGTGGGATTTGGACTTCGAGCCCCTCCCAAAGCGTGGCTGGGCTGTCGGGCAGCCATGTCAGTGAGGTTTTGCTGGGGCCAAGGATCGGCTTCCGCCTGGTGGTGCCGGGGTGGCACTGGCCATGTCGCAGGAGGCCTCAGCTCTAACTCCCAAGGGCCTTTTGGCCGGGCTGCTGAGTGTCCCAGGACATGAAGGCCAGCTTGTCTTAGAGCCCAGGAGCTGAGAGTGAGCTGCAGGGCCTTCCCCGCATGTGTCTCTGTTCCCCGTCTCTACACCCGAGGGAGCAGCCCCTTCGGCCCCACCCACACCCACCGGGAGATGAATTCTGCCTCCCAGAGGGAGTGTCGCAGAGTCTGGGTGTGTTTTAAACCATCACAGGGCGTATGTTGGAACCGCACCTTGGCGCTCCACTAGCATCAGGCACCACCCCCCACCTCCCCGCCACGCAGGCTTTATGCCTTCCCAGCTGCCCGCAGTTCGGAGCGAGCGGAGCGCTGAGATTTTGAAGATTTTGAAGTGTTTACGTTTTTCTTTGACACAAATGGGTCGCTTGGCCCTTGAGGGGCCTTGAGCCCCAGAGTCCTGGGGTGAGGGTGGTCCGAGGTCTCTGGCTGCTGCTGGGCCTGTCGGAAGGCTGTACCTGTGGTCCAGGGTGCCCCCTCATATGCCAGGATGGGGGGGTGGCGTGTGTTCCCTCGCTCCTGTCTTGGAGGTCTGTTTCTACCTTCAGTGCTTTCTTTCTAGGCCATTTTGGAGGAGAACAAGGAGAAGCTGCCGCTCGCCATCAGCCCGGTGGCCTATCCCTGCGACCACGTCTTCAAGTGCGTAGCCCCCCCTCAGCTCCTGATGAGCCTCCCCGGCACCCCCACGAGCCCCCCCCGGCTCCGAGAGCAGCGCCTGGCACAGGAGGGCGCTCAGAAAGCCTGCCGTATCCTGGTGGCATGGCAGTGGCAGGAGCCCAGGGCAGAGACCTAGGATCACAGAGAGAATGCTGTGAAAGTGACGGGGTGGTGGGGTGTTCCTCTGGTCCTGGGTGAAAACAGCCAGGCCTGCCCCAGGAGTCAGGGAGCCTGAGCCGACCGTGAAGGCGTGGGGCGCCGAGCGGAGGCGGCCAGACTGCCGGGAAGGGCGGTGTGCGGCGCCAGCAGGTGTGGGCTGGCAGGTGAGGCAAGGCCCGGCAGGCCGGATGCCAGGTGGAAGCAGACACCCCGTAGCACTTGTGAGAGGTGGGTGTGCCGTGCTCCCCACTGGATGTGGCACAGGCCCAGAGGCGGGTCCCAGCCTGGCTTCTGCCTCCATGGGAGTCCCTCCCTCTGGTTACTACCCAAGCCTGGTCCAGCCAGAAATGGGCAGCCCAGCCCGCTGCCCCTTCCCTGAGGCCAGCCCAGGGGTCCTTTCTGGTGCCCAGGCCCACTACCCAGTGTCCGTCCATCCTCGGGGTAACAGGCCCCACTGAGGCCCACTTAGTTTTGGCCTCCTGCTCCCAGTCCTGCCGTAGGCTCCAGCCACAGACCGAGGTCTTCATGCCGGCCTTGCCCCTGGCAGTCACCTCACCTCTTCCCCTGGACTGCTGTTCCAGGCTGGGCCCCCCTCTTGTCTTCTTCTGCCTCTGCACCGCCCCCCCCGAGCTCCCGGGCTCTGTCCTCATCTCTCCCTGGGGCCAGTGGGGGCCGGGCCAGGCCAGCAGCAGCGAGTACTGGTGTGGAACAGGGCCTTGCCCGGGGCACCCATCTTGGCTACACACGCCCCCACAGGCCCCTGGACTCCAGCTGCCTTCTCGGCCAGCGGTGCTCAGTGTGTGAGTGGGAGGCTGGTTGTGTCTGTCCTTCTGGTTCCATGTGGGAGGCAGGCTCGCACCTGTTAGACACTCAGGTTATCCCGTGTCACCCCAGTGACAAGAGTGAGTTGGGCTGTGATCCCATCTTAGAGGCGGGGACGCTGGGGTCAGAAGGATCCTCGTCGCCCCACCCTGCAGGCGAGCAGAGAGAGTGGGGCCGGCACTGCCTGTCCGGCCTCAGGGCCCGAGCCCATACGTCCACCCCCCTCCTCCTCCACACCAGCCCAGGCTGGGCAGCGCCCGAGTCCCTGGAGCGCGGGGGGCATGGCCGGCTCAGCCCGACTCCGCCCGCAGGGTCTACACAGACATCCAGCAGGTGCTCAGGCACCTGACGCACCCGCGCTTCACCTTTGCCCAGAGCGAGGCGGATGCGGACATCCTCTACAACTTCTCCCACTTCAAGGACTACAGGTGAGCACCCCCCCGCCAGGCCCGGGGTTGGGGGATGCCCCCAGAGCCCCTGCCACCCCTGAGCCGCGTGCATATGCCCCGGCCCCACAGGAGGCTCAGCCAAGAGAGGCCCAACGTGCTGCTGAACCAGTTTCCCTGCGAGAACCTACTGACGGTGAAGGACTGCCTGGCCTCCATCGCACGCCGGGCCGGGGGCCCCGAGGGCCCGGCGTGGCTGCCCCGCACCTTCAACCTGCGCACCGAGCTCCCGCAGTTTGTGAGCTGCTTCCAGCAGCGGGAGAGGCGGTGAGGGCCCCCGTCACTCCTGTACCCCCCACCCCCAGCCTCACCCCACCCGGCTCGCACCCGCTGCGTGCTGGCCGTGGCACTGAGAGCTGTCGGCACGGGGCACGGCCGGGACCACGGCCACGGACATCTTCGTGTCTTGGCTCGAGCAAGTTCTTCCTCACTCTGTGAGGTCAGCCCCTGACGGCCCCGCTGTGACAGCTCCCGCTGCTCCCTGGGAGGGGTTGGGTGTCCCTCTCCGAAGGCGACCGTGGTCCCTAGAAGGTGGGTGCAGGGCACAGCCTAGCCGAACCCATGTGCTCTCAGGGGCCAGGACAACCACTGGATCTGCAAGCCCTGGAACCTGGCCCGCAGCCTGGACACCCACGTCACCAGGAGCCTGCACAGTATCGTCCGGCACCGGGAGAGCAGCCCCAAGGTGAGGCCATGTGGTGGTGGGGACTCAGGTGGGGCCACTCGGCTCCTGGTGTCTCTGAAGCCCAGACCCTGCTCCTTCCAGTGCCCTGGCCAGCGGGGGTGGGGAGGCGGAAGCCCTTGTCCAGAGCTGTCTCAGGTGTGTCTGACCTCAGAGTCCCCACTCGCTGCACCACTCGAGACCACCCAGCAGGAGGGAGGCAGCCAAGCCAGGGAGCCCCGAGACAAGGGTGCTGTAGTGACATGGAGCCCGTCAGGGTCGGTATTGGGGTGGGGGGATGGGGGAACGGTTATGGGTCGAGGAAAGCATGCCAGTGGGATGACGGCTGAGCAGGATTCCAGGCAGCGGACGAGGAGTCGGGATTACAGCGGAGAACTCGTATGTGGTTGTCAAAACCTGAAAACTGGTGGGACCTTTTCCTCAGCTAAAGTGAAGGTGAAGATTCAGAACTTGCCACAGCCTAGACAGGGTTTGAAAAGACAGAGAGGAAGGAGCCAGGTGCAGGGCACAGGGCTCCTGAGGCCGGAGCAGGAGTGTGCCTGTTTCTCCAGGATGTGGGGACCGTGTTCAGATGTCCCACAGGCGTGAGCCCGTCGCCAGTGAGGACAGATGCCGATGGGGCGAGGTTGGGGTACCTCTGGGCCCAGGTGAAGGGAGAGCCGGCCGCAACCCTGTGTCTGTGTTCTCTAGGTCGTGTCCAAGTACATCGAGAGCCCAGTGTTGTTCCTTCGAGAAGACGTGGGGCTGGTCAAGTTCGACATCCGCTACGTCGTGCTTCTGCGCTCGGTGAAGCCCCTGAGGCTGTTTGTCTATGACGTGTTCTGGCTGCGCTTCTCCAACCGGTAACCGAGAAGCCTCTCGGTTGGGGGGTGGGCGACGGGGCCCCCTTTATCGGGGTCGGAAAGCCGGTCCTGGAGCTCTTTCTCCGCCACGCACCTGGCAGGCGGCCCAGCTGAGCCCCGATCTGTCCGCCAGCGGGAGTTCTCGCCCCGTTGCAGGCAGCCACGGGTGGGACCTGGACGGCACTTGGCACTGTCAAACGGGCACCGAGCGGTGCAGGTCGCGAGGACATTCATAGGCTGCCCGGGTGTCTTCACAGACAAGCTCTGAGGGGCTGCGGGGCACCCCTTCACTCTACGGGGGGACAGGCATCCAGCGGGGTCTCTCGGAGCACCGTCCCTGCTGGGACGCGGCCGTGCTCAGGACCCTCCTGTGTCTGTGCGCTCCTCCTGCAGGCCCTTCGCGCTCGACGACCTGGACGACTACGAGAAGCATTTCACCGTCATGAACTATGACCCGGAAGTGGTGCTGAAGCAGGTGGGTTCACCTGGACACAGGCCAGACCCAGACCCCACACCCCTCGGCCTGTCTTCTGGGCAGACTGTGCAGACCAGCTGCCTTCCGGTACCCATGTCAGTCTCAAAGCAGTAGCCTCCCCACGTCCTGTGGCAGGTCTGAGCAGGGCAGGTCTCAGCTGGAGGCACAGACTGCCTTCCACTGGCACCCCCCGAGCACGGGGACCGGTGACGGTGGGACGGCACAGGGGTGCAAGTCACATGGCCCCCGTGGCAGGCTGCTGCTGCTGGACCGTGACCCTGCCTGGATCCTGAATCCATGCTGTCCCCCATGCTGTCTGGGCACTTTGGGCGAAGGGACATCAGGGCAGAGCTCCTTCCGAGGTGAGGGCCTCAGACCCTGGCTGGCCAGCAGTGCACCTGGGACAGGTAGGCTCAGCCCGGGCAGAGGCACAGCCAGCTGTGGGTGGAGGAGAGAAAGGCTGCCTCACACATCGTCCCAGAAGTGGTTGGTGGCTGTTTCAAGGCAACGGGAAGTAGGGCTCACCCTCCCCACCCCGTCACCCACGCTGCTCACCCCAAGGCCTGCCCGTGGCCCTCTTGGTGGCCACTCTCCGAATGTGGTAATTACCCGTTCCAGGCGTGTTTCGATTCTTTTCAGCATGAGTATATCCCAATATTATTCAAATGATGATTCTGCATATGTATGTAAGGTTTTACGTGAATGCTATCCTGTTGAGCAAACCTTTCTATGGTTTTATTCTTTTCTGAGCATCACGTGTGTACATTCGTCATTGTTCTTTTTATAAAGTTGTTTTTTGTTTTTTGTTTTGTTTTTAGTTTGCTAGAGACACAGCGAGAGAGGGAACACAAGCAGGGGGAGTGGGAGAGGGAGAAGCAGGCTCCCTGCCAAGCAGAGAGCCAGATGCGGGGCTCGATCCCAGGACCCTGGGATCATGACCTGAGCTGAAGGCAGAGGCTTATGGACTGAGCCCCCCAGGCACCCCAAGATTTGTCATTATTGTTAAATGGGGCTGGGGGCGTTCTTGTCCTGGGATGTTCTTGTCATTCACCTGTTCGTAGACATTCAGGTCATTTCGGGTTTTCGCCATTAGTACACATGCTGCACCGAACACTCCTGGGGACGCCTCGCTGTGCCCGTGTCTTAGCAGCCCTCAAGGGTGGACGGCGGCCTCAGAGCGCCCGTGCCCTTGCTCACGCCCAGCTCCGCCGCTGCTGCCTGTCCTGGGCTGTGTTGCAGGCGGGTCCCTGGGACGCTGCGCCACCCGCAGGGCCCTGGGACGTGGTTGGAAGTTGTCTCTCAGAGAACGGAGTGCCTCCCTCCAGCACCCCAAGGGTCGTGTTTTCCTGGAAGCTCCTGGGTAGGGGGATGTGTCGCCAACAGGATGTGAGCATCAGGCTTCCGCAGGGAGCCCGTCCTGGCTCATCCTTTGAGGAAGGCACCGAGCTCACTGCCGGCTCGCACCCGTGTGTGTTGGATGAAGGCTTGGCTTGAGAGGCCTTGCCGTGCTCAGGTGCTTGTTGCTGGTGCTGAGCGGTGAGCTCAGGCCTGGGTCCAGCCTCTGCCTCTGGCGCACTGTTCTGAGACCCACGTGGTGCCGTGTCCATCCAGCCTCCCAGTAGCCCCACCGATAGCGTTCCAGACAAGGGGCACTGTCCCATTTCACAGATGATGATGCTGAGCCGGACAAGTAAATCTGCTTGTCTTGAGTCAAAGAGTAAGATCCGGAGCTCAGACTCCAGCTCCTGCCTCCCATCTGTGCCCAGGTGCAGGGGTGCTGGTAGGCTGCGGGCGCTGACCTGTAGCCCCAGCGAGTGCCAGAGCCCCACATGAAGGCAAGGCAGGCTTCCTCACTCCCTGCCCCGAGGTAGCCCCAGGTAGAGCGTGATGGGCCGCGTGTCTGTCGCAGGTGCACTACGATGAGTTCATCCCTGAGTTTGAGAAGCAGTACCCGGAATTTCCCTGGAAGAGCGTCCAGGTGAGTCCTGGGCAGAGCTGCAGAGGCCAGGCCTTCCCTTGCGGGCGGGCGTGGGCTGGGTGAGGGTCTTGGCCTCCTCGGGATGGTCCTGCTCCTCCCACGCCGGGCCTCGCGGGGTGTTCTGGAGGGGACTCGGAGCACGGTTGGGACCGCCTGCTGGCAGTAGGCCCTACCTGGTCCCAGAAATGGCAGACAGGGGCACAGCCAGAGATCCAGGTTGGTCCCCGCAGGCGTGCACCTCTGTGCAGAGGGGACTGGGGACTCGGGGGCAGTAGCCAGGCAGCTTAGCAGTCGTCAGACGCCAGAAGCAGGTGTCGGATAAGGCGGTGGCAGCCAGGGGTGCAGACATGAGGCTGGAGGAGGAGGGATCGTGGGCTTTGGGGCCACAGCTCAGGTAGAGACAGGGAGGCGCACAAGGAGCTTCTCGGGGGCTGGGGGTGGTCCCGGCCTCAGACCCGTGCAGCCCCCAGCCCGGCCTCCCCGTCCTCCAGGCTGAGATCTTCCAGGCCTTCACGGAGCTGTTCCAAGTGGCGTGTGCCAAGCCGCCGCCCCTGGGCCTCTGCGACTATCCCTCATCCCGGGCCGTGTATGCCGTGGACCTCATGCTCAAGTGGGACGACCGTCCAGATGGTGAGGGGGCGCCCCCGCCCCGTAATCCAAACCACGCCCCCCTCCGCTTAACCCAAAGCCGATCATCCAGCCCTCCCCTGCCCCCGGGCACAGAGACAGATCTGAGATGGTGTCTGCCTCGGGTCCACCAGAGATCTGGGGCGGGGGGGGGGCGGGGGCCACACCGTTGGGGGGCAGCCTTCAGGTCAGGACAGAGCGCGAGGGGGAAGGGCAGCGGGCCGCGGCGGAGCCAGGGGGGAGCTCGTGCCCCGTGTTTTTGTGCCGTCAGGGACGCGAGTGATGCAGCCGCAGATCCTGGAGGTGAACTTCAACCCGGACTGTGAGCGGGCCTGCAGGTACCACCCGGGCTTCTTCAACGACGTCTTCAGCACCCTGTACCTGGACGAGCCCAGCCACTGCCACGTCACCCGCCTGGTCTAGGTGCTCGTGGCTCCGCGCTGCCTGCCGGCCCCTTCCAGCCTCAGCGGGCGGAGGTGCTTCCGCGGGCCCCTCCCCTCCTTCCTCGGCACAGCCTCGTCTTGGAGCTGTCATCCCCGTGTCACCTCTGGGGGCTCAGGGTCCTCTTCCCTCCGAGGTCAGGAGCAGGACCAGGCACGGTGTCCCCAGGGCTGAGTCCCAGGCCCCTGTCCGTGCTCCCCTCACCGCCATCCGTGCTCAGCTGAGGGCTTTTTCTGGAGGGTCTGGTTCCTGGGCTGCTGTTTCCCAGGGGGTTAGCGGCTGTGGGTTCTGGGGAGCACGAGGTTTCCCCAGCAACACCTGCGGAGCCCACATGCGAACGGGGAGCTGGGTGGGCTGCTTCTCCAGGGGGCCTGCTCGTGTATCGTGACTCCGCTGGGGCAGGGTGTCCCCACCCCTGCCCCCCAGAACAGCTGGGAACCTGCTCCCCGGACCACACCTTCTTGGTTCCCACTCTCGACCAGACCTTTCCCAGTAAGCTTCCCGTGAAGTTCCCGGCCGGGAGGGCCGCGGCCTTGGGCTGCTGTTGCCTTTCCACGTGGCAAGAGCAGGCTGTCCTCCTCTGACCCCGGCATACCCGGCCGCCCGCCGGGCACGGCAGAGCTGTCCCCCTCGCCTGCCGTCGGCTGGGGCCTCAGGGACAAGTGTGGGCGGCAGAGCCCAGCAGCAGACGGCCAAGGAAGATGATTCCAGGGAGAACTTGATGTTACTGTCAGGTGCCACCTTCCACCCGAGTCTAGCATCAAAATGTTGGATTTTTGTTAGTTTTTCATTTATGGGAGGAAAATATAAAGATTCTTATTATTTCCGTAACCTTGTTTCTGAAATTTGGAGTCAGATGCTGGTGTGTTTTGTGTAGCCCCAGTGGCCCCAGGCCCAGCTGACAGTGGGGTGGGGGGAGAGTTTGACCCCCACTCCTTGGGGGGTGGGGGTGGGGCACGGAGCTTCATTCACTGTGAAGCCAAGAAACAAAACTGGGCTGGGCTGTGCCTCCCATCCGTGTGTCCACTTGGCTGTGTGTGTCCATCTTCTTTGTCACCCAGAACCTCAGCCTGTTGGCTGGGGAGACGCCCCTTCCATCCTGCTAAGCTGTGATGTAGCAAGGACACACGGTCTCTGGTTTCCCCTGGAGAGCCGCTGGCGTCCTGCCCTCTCCTTGACGCGACCTGTACCGTAATAAACTAGGCCTTCTTGACCTCGGCCTCCCTCTCTGTGTGGAGGCCCCAGAACCACAGGCCCAGCACCGTGTGTCAGCTGTCTTCCTGTTCGGTTGTCGAAGAAAACCAAAATATTGAGACGTCCCCTTGGAGAAACGAGAGAAAATGGCGTTTGGGCTGCCAGGTGCCCATCTGGGTCTGTTAGGGCTGCGGTAACAATACCACGACCCTGGCCTCGCGCAACACAAGTTCCTTCCTCACGGTTCTGGAGTGGGGGCGTCCCGGGATCGGGCGGCAGACTTGGCGTCTATAAGGGCCTCTTCCTGGTTCGCAGATGGCCACTGTGTCCTCATGTGGGAAGGGGCAAGGGAACTTTGTGGTGTCTCTTGTAAGGACACTGACCCCATTCATGAGGGCGCCACCCTTGTGACCTGATCCCTTCCCGAAGTCCCCACCTCCTGTGACTATCACACAGCGGGAGGGTAAGATTCAACATAGGGGTTTGAGGGAACACTCAGACCACAGCAGGCTCCTCCCCAAAAGCTGGATTCCCCAGCACTGGTTCCATTTCAGAGCAGAACACAGCGGGGACAGATGCAGAGCTGAGGCTCCCCTCGGCATCACGGGCAGTGCCCAGGAGCCTCGTCTTCCTGCCAGCCCTGAATCCTGGCTCAGCACACACTGTTGGGCCCTCAAGACACGGGATTCTCTTCCTACCTGTTTCCTCACCCTGGGGCTGGGGGTAATGGGAGACCCTAGCTGCTCTCGACGGCGGGAGGGTCCAGGGGGCGGATGCAGGAGGGGCGTGAGCACTGTAGGCCAGCCCAGTGACGCCCCCTCGTGGTGGGCAGAGGCCCTGCAACATACTGATGGGCACATGCCCCGCAGGGGACCGCCAGTGCCCCTCCGGCCGGGCACTCACACCAGGGCATTCATCCACACGCCCAACAGGGAGGGTGGGCCTGCGCATTACCAGTTTACTTCAAACCCGATTACCCAGGATACTCTGAGCAATCAGAGGACCACATGATCCAGGCTCAATTATAAACGGGCTTCTCCCCAATTCTAGATGTCCTTGCGCCTCTCATCAGTGGAAATCAGATGACGCCTGAGGAAGGGCATCCGGCAGGGCTCCCACTGTGCTTAAAGACCAGACCGCTTGCAGTGTAGACGGTTCTTATCTCTGGAAATGGTTCTTTCTGGTATTCTCTTCACTGAGGTCACTTTGTGCTGAGATTTTTTTTTTAAAGACTCTATCTGAGAGAGAGTGCATGGGGGTAGAGGGAGGAAGGACAGAGGAAGAGGGAGAAGCAGACTCGCCACTGAGCAGAGAGCCTGATGCAGAGCTCTGTCCCAGGACCCTGGGATCACAACCTGAGCCAAAGGCAGACGCCCAACAGACCAAGCCCCCCGGGTGCCCCCGTGTTCAGAATTCATCAGAGTGCAAAATCTGGACGTCTGGAGTTGACCAGGGAGTCACAGCCATAGTATTCATTGTACCAAAGTTCTACAGAACCACACAAAAGAAATCCAAAAGGTAAACCTTGAGAGGCTGACAGCAAAATCTAGAAAGATCCTCAGTGATGATCCGTGGCCACATAAACACCACCAAACGTGGCAGCTCCTTCCTGGAGAGGCACTGACATAGTTAGAACCTCTCGGTACCAGAGATCCACAGGGGCCAATGGAAACATTAAAGCACTCGGCACATGGCTGACAGTCACTGCTGTGTCCCTGCCGATGGCCGGCCGGCTGAGCCCTCCTGAGCTGTGTGAATCACCTTGTCTTGTGTCCTTTGTGGCCAGCTGGCTACAGAGGGAGGCAAATGCCCGGATTTAAGACTTCAACAGCTCAAAGTAGCTCCAGGAAGGAATGCAGACCAGAAGGACTTGACATCCGTGAGATAATAGACTTTCCTATCAAACCAACATAGACATTGTCAGGAGCCTCAGGCTGCTAACAGAAGCCAAAGCTCAGAACAGGAGAGAAGGCGGTGTACTTAGGAAGAACTGGGGCCAGGGGGGAGAGCATCACAAGAAAGCGGCAGACGAAATGGCTAAGTACATCTGTCTCGTCCATTTTTCTAGCCATTTCTGTGGCCACGCGTGTCGTGTGGCCGGGAGGAGGCATGTGGGATACTGCTAGAGAGGAACAAAGCCACAGCGAGTGGGACAGACAAAAGAAGAGCCTGCGTGAGCATCACGGAAAGGATTGCAGAAGTCTCAGGTGTACGTAAGTGCTAAGTACAGCACATCTGAGGGGCCCACGGGAGCCTGGGATGACCCTTCGGGCCCCCCCGCCTAGACCATCTTGGAGAACTTCAGAAATGATAGAAAGGATGATCAAGGAGTCCCCCATTGGAGCCCTGTCCTCTGGGGAGCATCAGAGAAAGGGCCTGGGAGCTGGCGAGGTGCTGCTGGCGCTCCCCGCAGGGCACGATCTGCCAGCATCCAGTCCCAGCGGAGGTGACAGCCCCGGGGAGAGAGCCACCCCTGCCCTCGGCCGAGTGTAGTCTGCTCTCTCCCCGAGCTTTCCTAATGTTGTAACCGGGTCCCATCTGAGTGTGAGAAGAGGGCAAAGGTCGGGGAGCCGGCAGCAGAGCGCCGGCCTGCCCAGATGAAGTGAAACAACCCGTTGGCCTGTGTGAGTGACCAACAACCAGACCAAACAAGCCACCGAAGGCCCACAGGTCCCAGGCCCCCCAGCGCCCCGCGGCGATGCCGCGAGGCCCAGACCACGGCTTCCGGCTGGAGCAGGGGTGTCGCCCCAGCGGGAGCCTGCCAGGGTGACAGGCCTCCGCCAGCCTCCCCTGCCCCCAGCGGCTGCCTGCAGAGGACCTGGACAAAGCTGGGGGTGACACGTCCCCACCTGGGGAGGCCTGGACCAGCGAGAGGCCGCAGTCTCCGGGTCTCACTAACGATCCGGTGTTCACGGGGCTGCCCCCGGCCCCCCGGGGGCAGGTCGGGCAGTGTCCCCAGCTCTGGGCCCAGCCCTGTCCCCGCTGAGGCCAGCGAGGGCCCTGGGGCAGCAGCCCCAGCAGACTACGGGCCCATGCCCTGCGCCCAGCTTCCTGGAGGCTTAGGGAGTGGACAGGACCGAGCCCCGGGCCTGCTGTGCACCAGTCTACACGGCAGAGCCTGGGTGTGGGCTCCGGGCCGAACCTGGGCTGCTCTGCTCCGGGGAAGGCCACCCCGCCTCTCAGAGGGTCTTGGGAGGGACCCGAGAAGCACCGATGAAGCGCTGACCACGTCCGGCAGTGGGGTAAGCACCCCTCCCTCCCCACAGCCAGGAGGCCCCCCCAAGTAAAAAGGCCACTGCCAGGAGGTTACAAACTTTATTTGGCTTCTAGCCTCCGTGTTCCGAGAGCACACTTGGAGCGGAGCAGGAAGCGCAGGACACCGTTCCTGGCATAGAGGCTCGGCCTGGGGCACCTCTGCAGCCGGCAATGATCCCCGGGGCCGAGACCCCGACAGACCCGCAGGCCGGGCGGCCACAGAAGCACATGGGCTGCCACCCCGGGCGGCGTCTGATCGCAGCAGCTGGGGTCCGCGGAGGACGGTGCGCTTTCACTCGCCGAGCCGCCGGCCCCCGCGCCAGCTTCGGTTGTCCCGCCACACGCAGTAGTTGAGCGCGGCCGCGAAGGCCAGCCAGGCCAGGTACGGGTAGAGCAGGCGGGCGGCTGGCGGGCTCACCCGGTACCAGGCCACGGCCGTGGCTCCTGCCAGCCCACCCATCAGCAGGAGGTCCACCAGCGCCTGCAGAGACACGGGAGGGGGGCGGGGGACAGGGAGGCCTGAAGTTCCTTGTGCTCACCGGGTGCGTGTCCCAGCTGGCCCCTCGTGGGGTGCACTCCAGGGAGCACTCCGTCCCACCCCCGAGTGACCCTGCCAAGTCCCTCCCTCGTTCTCTGCCTCAGTTTCCCATCGGTAAAATGAGGACAATCACCCCCGCCTGATCCATGCCATCTTAGGGACACAGGGCACCAGGCGTCATGTTTTCCCATACGATGGCCCTTCAACCAAGCCAGTGAGTGCGTCTGGTGCTGTCAGAACCCCGCAAGCTTCCTCCACTGGAGGAAAAGCAGCTGGGGGCTCTACAGGAGGCTGCTGGTCCCCTAAAAGCTCCTGCGAGATGCTATGTGCCATCCCCTCCCCTGGATCTTCAGACCCTCACCCCATCTAGGATGTGATGCCCTGTGTCCCCCAAGGAAGGGTCACTCCTCTGCAAGCCATCTCCAGGGACCAAGGAGACTGGCCAAGGCCACACTTACCCAACCCATTTGTCGGCTGCCAAAGAAGATGGGAGGCCATGCCCAGTTCAAGGCCAGCTGCCCAGTATAGAGACCCAGGGGAACCACAGCCTCCTCCGAGAAGCCCCCCAGCTCTTTCCAGACCATGTAGGAGCCATACCTGAAACAGAGGCCACCAGTCAGGGCACCAGCAGGAAAGAGACCAAAAGCCTCCCTGAGCCATGCTCACCTACGGGACGGCACAGTGGTGGCTCGACCATGCTCTACCACTGACCACTGTGTGCCCTCAGGGAAGTTGCTTGACTTCACTGGGCCTTTTTTGCTCCCAGGACTGCTGCGAGGATTTGAGTTAACATCCTGGCGGGGCTTAGGTCAGCGACTGGCATGTGGGACACTCAGTAAATATCTACCATTATTATCATCAGGATCTGGAGTGAGAAAGAGGCTCCTAACCTAGACGGGGCACCCGCACAGAGGATAGGACATTTCAGCTGGCCCTTAGTGGGCAAGTAGGAGTCTGCTAGAGGGGGGAAACAAGCATTTGCAAACGCTTAGGGGCAGGTTAAGGGCCTGTGGGCCAGGAGGCTGAGGTCTGGGGGGCAGCAGAGAGGCGAAGCTGAAGAGGCAGATGGGGACCTGGTCATGGGGGTTCTTAGAACCATGAGGGGGAGGCAGTTACACCGCTAACAGGAACGAGTGGCCCCCAGCATGTACACATGTGGGTACTGCTCTGGCTCTTTCCAAGTATTAACTCATTTCACTTTCATGATAATGCTGTGAAGTGGGCAGTATTATCACCCCTGTGTCACAGGTGGGGAAACTGAGGCACGGAGAGGCAAAGTGACTAAGATCTCTTGGCAGGCAACCGGTGGGTAAAGGCAGGATTTGAACCCAGGTGGTCAGGGCCAGAGTCTGAGCTCTTTACTCCATGAGAGATTTGACCTTATCAGTATCACGGGGAGCCTCTGCAGTGTCCCACTAAGGAGAGACGAGGGTCACATTTGGGCTTTACCAGGATCTCACCGGTGGAGGAAAGCCAAGAAGGAGTGGGGAGGCCTGGAGGCTGAACAAGAAGAGGCAGAACCAGAGGCGCCTGGGCCAGGGTCAGGGAGGAGAAAGCAGGACACAGGAAGAGCTGGGAGCCTGGCTGGGCAGGGCCCGGGACTGGCTGGGGCTGGTGCCCACATGACCCCCAGGTTGTACAGACTATTCCCATCAGAAGCCCATGGCATCCAGCCTGGTTTCTGCTACCTGCTCCCCAGGTGCCTGGCATCTGCAGCCCCACCCTGTACTGGGCTGGCATTAGACCCAGGATGCAGGGAACATTCCAGAAGGAGGGCAGGGAGCTGGCCTCACAGGCTGGGTGCAGTTCCCAATAGAGCCACCAGGGGGTGCCCTCCCCATCCTACTCTTCCTCTCCAGGGGTGTAGTCACAGGGTTTCCGGCAGGAGGCCCCTTGTCAAGTGGGTGGTCTTGAAAATTAACCCAGACCCTGGCACTGAGCTCAACAGCGGTAGCTAAGAGAATTGCTATTGTTGCTGCCACTGTTGGTCCTGGAAGCTGCCCAGGTCTGAACTTGACACACTGAGCCCGCCTCCCCCTGGAGTTGCGAAAACAGCCAGGGTGCCAGCCACCCGGCCCGCCCTCCCTGGACGCCCTGGAGGAGAAAGTTCCGGCCCGGAAAACGCCTGCTGCCCCAGAGCACAAGGAGGAGAAGCTCTGCCCCCGGGCCTCAAGAGGGAGAGGATGGCCCAGCCCACCTACCCCATGGCCGAGTAGAGGGTGCCCCAGATGGGGCCCAGCGCCCAGCGGGGCGGGTGCCACGTGGGCTTCTGCAAGCTGGCATACCAGCGGAGCCCCTCCCCGCGGACGTAGTACGAGCCCAGGAAGCCCCCCAGGCTGGGCACCAGGGTGAAGCCCATGGCGGGCACCCAAGGCGGGGCCATTGCTGCTGTGGCGGTTGCTGCTCTGGAAAGTTCTGCAAGAGAAGACAGGGGTGGGGTGAGGGGGAGGTGCTCCAGAACTGGGGCGAGGCTTCCCCAAGCCCTGGGCAGGGAGGGGCTGGGTTCACCTGGGCAGATCCTGCCAGCCCCGTGCAATGGCTCCAGTGAGCACATTTCCACCCAAAATCTCCTGCCCCGCCCACCCCAAACCCAAAGGCTGTCCTGAGAGGCCGGAGCCTCTGGGGGACCCGCCCCTGCAGCTGGCCCCACCTCAGCTCCTCTCCCAGCTGCCAGCATCCTGTACTCTCTCTCTCAGCCCCACCCTTGACCTTGGGTCTCCTGTCAAGTGACCCCTCCTCTGACTCAAGGCCAGTTCATGTCCCTCCACCCAGAGAGCCTCCCAGCCCTTCCTCCCCAGCCCAATAGACAGCCCAGTGCTCGGAGAAGCCCGCATCGGCCCACACCCTGTGCGCTACGTTCTAGTACCTCTCATGCCCTCTCTCATCATTCATTCATTCATTCAATCATTCATTCATTCATTCAATAACTTGCATCACAGAGCTTCGCTCAAATCCTGACTCCCCACTACCTCCCTGTGACCTCAGGCAAGTCCCTTCAACTCTCTGGGCCTCAGTTGCCCCCTCTGTAGAGTGGGATAGCAACACCGTCTACCTGGGCCCCGCCCAGTGGGGGGGGTTACCCAGGCGCACAGGTATTTTACCACCCCCCCTAAAGGCCCACCCTAAAATCACCTTTCCTTCCCTCTGTGTCAGAGAGGGAAAGCAGCCTGCTTGGAGTCACACAGCACTCGGGCCAGGCTCTGCCCAGCCAAAAAGCTGCTCCCGCGCAGCGACCCAGGCTCACAGAGGTGGCAGGTGGGAAAGAACAGCAGTTTGTAAGAGTTCAAACTCGCGAGGGGCCCTCGGCCACCCTGAGAGGCTCGCAAGGGGCTAGGCAGGGAAGGGCCCTGTGTCCAGCCTGGGTGCTGCCACCCTGAGGGCTGGGAACCCAGTCATCAGGTCTGTCCATCGCGCTCATCAGCTATGTCCCCTTCCCCAGTGGCCCTAAGGTCTGCTCGAGGACCTACTAGGCGCCCAGCAGAGGGTGAGGCCCCAGCCGGCTGAACTGCTCATGGGGTTGAGAGTCCAGAGTGATGGCGGGCGGGGGGACCCTGACCAGGCATCTCGGGCCAGCTCTGACTGGACCTGCTGTGGGACCCCCGGCCTGTGAGCACCCCAACTGGGACTCGTGTTCCCCACCATAAAACGAGGAGGCTGGACCCCCCACTGCCACTCTGATCCTAACTGGGGAAACTGGAGGTGTTTGTTTGCATGAGAGAGGAAGCCATCCAGATCAAGTTCAGCAAACCCGAAGCTCAACCTGCTAGGGTGGGGGCTGGGGACCCAGGGCAGACGGAACGGGAGAGTCCCTGCGAGGAGCACAGAGCTCAGAAAGGGTACCCGCGGATGCGGGATCCAGGAAAAGATGGCCCTGGCCAGGACCGTGAGAACCTCCCGCACAGGGACACAGGAAGGGAGAGCAGATGCAGGGGAAAGTCTGTGCAATCATCAGGCCTTCGGAGCAAAGGGTGAAGGCTGCCCTGGGGACAGGGGGCAGCTGCCAGCCTGGGGCCCCGGAAAGCCCCATGAAATGTGAAGCAACCTTCATCCCCAACAAGGAGGGACCATGAAGGCCTGCTCAACCCCCGCAAATCCAGCTTTTGTAGACTCTAATAATGTAAAAATTGTCCTCAACATAACGTTAAGCAAAGAAAGAGGCATATAAAGTTGACTACGGAATCACCCCAATTAAAAAAAAAAAAAGATGACAGAGACAGGCATTTTAAAAACTAACAGATTCACGAAGGTGTTCTAATCACAGCCTTCATGATCACAGAGCTAATGCTGCGTGCCTTGCCAGGAACTGCCCCCTCTTGTCCCACCGGCCAGTGCAGACCCAAGGCCGGGAGTGGGGAGGCATCGGCCCAGGGCCCCTCTGCAATCGGGCAGCTGGGGATTCTAAGGGCTGCCCTTGGCAGTGGGAATTCTGTTTCTGTTTTCTAAAAATAGAATAAACAGATAAAATTCTGTTTATTGTTTTCCAAAAAGTCTATAATGAGCATCATTTTATTTTTTTAAAGATTTTATTTATTTGATGGGGTGCCTGGGCGGCTCAGTGGGTTAAAGACTCTGCCTGTGGCTCGGGTCATGATCCCAGAGTCCTGGGATCGAGCCCCGCATCGGGCTCTCTGCTCAGCAGGGAGCCTGCTTCCTCCTCTCTCTGCCTGCCTCTCTGCCTACCTGTGATCTCTTTCTGTCAATTAAATAAATAAAATCTTTAAAAAAAAAAAAAGATTGTATTTATTTGAGATAGAGAGTGACAGAGCACAAGGGGGTGGGGAGGGTCAGAGGGAGAAGCAGACTCGCCACTGAGCCGGGAGCCCCATGTGGGGCTCGATCCCAGGACCCCGGGATCATGACCTGAGCCAGAGGCAGATGCTTCACCGACTGAGCCGCCCAGGCATCCAACGAGCATCATTTTAAACAGAACGATGGAAGATGCAGATTCCAGCTCTGCCTTCTAGTGACTGACTGATTCCTCCCTCCTCCGGCCTGGGTCTTCTCACCTGTAGCATTGGGACAGTCCCTCCATCCCCCAAGGTCGACACCCAGGTGCACTGTGAGGATGACCGGGCATGTGATGCGGGCGCCCAGCAGTCGATGTTCTGTGCTCCTTCCTCCCCTGCCCTCCTGCCCTGACCTCCGGCTTCCGGGGTGCACAGGACTATCCCTCGGTGAGCAGGAGGGTCTGTTTCACCACCATCGGGAGGACGCTGGCCCTGTGCCCCTGCCAGATGGGGGTGGGTCTCCAGACACATCCCTGGGACCTGGCCGCCCCGGTGGGCTCACCACCGGGTCACATGGCACGGGCTCAGGCCTCCTCAGCAGCCATGGAAACCCAGCCCTGCCCAGCCCGCCTAACAAATATGTCAGGTCCACAGCGAAGTCACAGTGTTTGGGCCACCACAGGAGCTGTGGTCAAAGTCCTAGGCCTCCCCTGGAACGTGACAAGGCTGGGCAGGTGGGGGGCCTTCACGCCGTCCTGACCCTCACATGCAGACAGGGAAACTGAGGCCCACAAGCTGAGAGGAGGGGCTGAAGGGTCAGGCACCAAAGTGGGCCAGACCTCAAGTCTCCTCAGTGTCACCCTTCGTCCCTTCTCCCACACCACGGGACGGTCCCACTTTATACCCACTTTTTTTCAAACTGATGGCCCCCTCACGCTCTGAGGCGTCCCTCCTACAGGCGCTCAAGGTGAATGCCGCCAGGGCAAGACACACAGGCAGCCCGAAGCCCGGATAAGGTCTGCAGAGGCGGACAGACGCACTGTGGTATCTCGCCGAAAAGGCAAAACCCCACCTGGCGAAGCTCCAGGGGGCTATGGTGACCAGGGCCACGCCACGGTGACTTCCCAGCTTGGGGGAGGCTGGGGGGAGGACTCTCTCTACTACTTTTGTACCTTCTCTATAAATCTAAAATTGGTTCCAAGTAAAACATTAAAAAAAGAAGTGTCCTGGTTTGGGTAACAGTTTGCACTGTCCCTGACTTCTGCCCGAAACCCAGCCCCAGCCCCTGCTCCCCCTGCCCCCAGGGCCCTCCGAGCCTCCCACTCCCACCACATCACGCCTGCTCTGAGACTGTCAGTGGCTCCTGTCCCGGGATTTTCTTCTTTTTAATCGAGGTAAAATCTGCGGAACATGAAATTAAGCACTTAGAGCGCACGATTCGGGGACATTTGGCGCACTTCTGATGTCTTGCCATCACCGTCCATGCCAAGTTCCAAACCATTTCCCTCACCCAAATGAACGCCCGCACCCATTGCAGTCACGCCGTGGCCCTCCCTCCCCCAGCCCCCGGTTACCAGCAATCTGCCCTCGGTCTCTGCCAATTTACCTTTTCTGGACATTTCATGTAAATGGAATCAAACAGTATGTGGCCTTTGGGGTCTGGCCTCTGCCACCAAGCATGTTTCCGAGCCTCCCCACACTGCAGCACCGGCCCATATTTCTCCACAAGGTTCCGTGGGCAGGAGCACTCCTGTCCCAGTCCGTGCCCACGGAATGCCACACAGGACTTGCCCGCGGTACCCGCCAAGTGGGCCCTAGAGCCCATCAACCGAGCCCCCTGCTGTACAGAACAACCACAGCCCACTAGAGGGTGGTGGCTTTCCTAAGGTCTCGGTGACAGAGCAGGGTCTGAGCCCGTGTTTCTGTCCCCATTCCTGCTGCCCCTTCTAGACCCTGGCTGTGTTTCATGTTTCACAGGCCTCGGGGATCAGAGAGTCTGCCCAGCTCACAGGTCAAACACAGAAAGGCCAGATGCCTCACCCAGAGAAAGCCCAGACGGGGAGCTTCCTGTGGCCTCTGGGGGACTGCCCAGCTCCTGAATCACCCGACTTCGGGACCCACCAGGCTGAGTCACGCTCAGCTGGACTGCTCTGGGCTGGGCTAGCCCAGGCAGACCTGAGAGAGATCTGCTCTGGGATGGGGTCCCAGGGAGGGCTGGGGAAAGTAGGGAGCACCTGTGACTGGAAAAGGACTCAGTAAAAGGGCAAAGCCACCCACACACCCTTGACTTCCATCAACATCAGCGGTGACTGTGAACCCAGATGTTGGCTTGCCTCCAATTTGTTTTGCAATCCCAGGCCAAATCTCCCCTCTGGGCCTCAGTTTCCCTCACATCAGGTGGGTACAACCTGTCCTGCCTGCTTCGTGGGGTCATCGGGAGGCTCAAGCAAGGATCAGACAAGTGAGGAGCTATGGCTGTCCGTGTTGGGGCCCCTTGCCCCATTTCCTCTGGGTGAAGATGTGGCCCCGTGGCACAGACCCAAGGCTGGAAGACATCAGCCAGGCAGGCGCTGGACAGTCAGTGGGGCAGAAGGCTTCACACACGGCTCCACCCCCGGGCCTTGGGCCACTCACCGAGGAGCGCTTCCAAAACAGAGGCCGAGAAGGGCCAGAGCAGAGGGCTCAGGACCTGGGATCAGGAGAAGGTTCTAGGCCTCTGGGAAAAGAGCGGTGATTGTGCTGGCTCACCCTGATGTTCAGACTTCACTCACTCCTCACGGCGGCTGCAGGGGTGGCCACCAGCTGCTTCTCTCTTGGGGGCCCCGAGCCACACCCTCCTGGCCTCCACAGGGGACACTACTAGTCCCACCGTCCAGATGAGGACACTGAGGCACAGGGAGTCCCAGAATTTTCCAGGTCTGTGTGACTCTCAGGCCCAGTGCTCTCCCACCCCTGAGCGGGGAGTCTGCTGGCCTCAGCTCTGGGCCACAAGGCCACTTAACCTGATGCCCGTGTCACCTCCTTCTCTCAGCCTCCTTCTCATCGCAACATGGCACTCAGCCTCCCCAGAGGGCCGAGGGGCCTCCCACCCTACCTCAGCGGTCCTGCCCTCTGCCCAGTGTCACAAGATTCTCAGGGCCAAGAGGCTCACTCCCTCCAGCCCCAGCACCAGTGTCCCAGGCCCCATAGGGCATTAGACCCCTTCTCAGCCAAGGGCAGCAGTGACAGGAACTGAATCTTCTCCATCCTCCCAAGGCGGGGGGGGGGGGGGGGGGGGGCTCAGGATCTTCTGTCCTCAAGCAGCTTCACTCCTGCTCCCCGCCAAGAGACTCCAGACCCATTTCTGGCCCTACAGTCTCACCTCCCAGGCCTCTCTGTCCCCATCTGTGAAGTGGGGGCTCGGCTAGTGAGTCCCTGGGGGCCCCTCCTGTTCCCCAAGGCCTCCCCTACAGAAGGTGGCAGAAAATGCCTCCCCCCACACACACAGTTTGTTTCTCTGATTCTCTCCTCCTCCCGCGCTGTACCTGGCCCTCCTAGGCCTTATCTCTCACTCAAGCCACGCGCTGCCCCCGGACTGGTGTTAAGGCTCCTTTTTTGTTGTTGTTATATTTATTTATTTGACAGACAGAGATCACAAGTAGGCAGAGAGGCAGGCAGAGAGAGGGGGGAAGCAGGTTCCTCACCAAGTAGAGGGCCCGATTCGGGGCTCGATCCTAGGACCCTGGGATCATGACGGGAGCCGAAGGCAGAGGCTTTAACCCACTGAGCCACCCAGGCGCCCCGAGGCTCCTTTCTTTTCTAAAATGACTCACAGCTAATCATCTGCGTTAGAACCTCTGTGAATCTTTTTCATTATGCAAGTACCCAGTACACCAGCCAGCAGGTCGGGAAGGGTCCATTGCCAGCCGGTAACCAGGAGGTCTGGGACGGGGTGGGGCTGGGAGGGACAAGGGGGAATTTGCTGCACGGAGAACGACTACTTTTCTAAACACAAAGAGCATATTCAGGCATGGCTGCCCAATCAGAAATAAGTAAATGAAAGTACAAATAAAAGAAACAGATTCCGAAACAAAATAATGATGCAAATGTGTATATGGGAAAAAGGAGGCTCCCTCCCTTGGAGCCCCAACCCCTCACCCCACCCCTGAGCAACCCACGGTCAAGGGTTTCTGGCTGATTCAGTCCCTGACACAGCAGCACACAGCGGGTGGAGGCTGGAACCCTAGTGGTTCAAACCCTGGCCCCACCCTTGTCACTGTGTCACCCTGGACAGGGGCTCCTGGGTGAGCCTCAGTTTCCCTCAGCTCCAAGGCTCCCCTCTGAGCCTCCCTCTGGGTGTGCCGCGCAGCCATCTGGAAACAAGCCTCCCGCCCCCCTTCCCCTTGCTCCTGGGGCCCTTCCAAGGCAGTGGACAAACACCGTTTCTCCACGAAGCAGACGTCCAATGCGAGGCCCCGCAGGGCTCCCCACTTCACCCCACGGAGGAACTGGAGGCTCGAGGCCCACACTCTGCCAGACAAGTCTTTTGGTCCACGGCCTGCTGCATGCCAGGCACCCTGGCACCCTTTGGATCAGCCGCAGTCAACGGTCCCTAGGGGAGGCCCCAGCCCAGCACCGCCCCCCGCCCCCGCCCTCGGCTGTAGAGCACAGGGCTGGTACGGGTCCGCGACGCACCAGCAGGCCAGCCAGACAGGCTCCCCGGCCGGCCCGGCCAGCAGGCGGGTCCCCAGAACTCTGCACGGTGTTCACGGCCGGAAGCCCCCGCACCCTACCGCTGCAGGACGGCAACGGGCAGGCAGGTCCCAGGCCTCCTTCTGCCCACACCAGACCCCTGTCCAGGCGACGGCGCACCCGAGCACTGAACTGGGAAGCTCGGGACCCGGTTCTAGGACACTCGGGGGCCTTAACTGGCTGTGCGCAAATACCCTGCCCAGGGGTTCTGGGTTTCCCCGCCTAGAAACGGAAAGTCTCAAGTGGACCCGGAGCCAGGGCATTTCGTGACCTTCTCGGTACCCCGTTCGGCCACTCCCGCCCTCCCCCTCCACCGCCATCCGGCTTGCTCAACGGCGGAATGGGCGGAAATCGGGACTGTCGGGTCCCTCCCGGTGGCTCCGCTTCCCGCCAGACCCGAGCGGAGGGGCGGGGCGCGGGGGCGGAGGGGCGGGGCGCGGGGGCGGAGGGGCGGGGCGCGGGGGCCGGAGGAGGGGCGGGGCGGAGCCGAGCCGGATTGCTCCAGTTCCCCTCCTCCGAACTCCCGCTCGCGCCGGGAATCCCGCGGCACAGGAGCCCCGACCGCGGAGGTGAGGATCCCGGCAGCCCGCCACCCCGGCACCGAGTCCCTTGGTGCTGCTCCCCTGCGGCCCACTAGGGTCCCCGCCCCGCAGCTCCAGCCTGCCCCCTCCTGCCTCAGTTTGCCTTCGGGCCCCGCGCCGGCGCGCGGGCGCTGTCGGGGGTCGCACCTGCGCGGGGCCGCTCCGCCCGCCGCCCCTTCGGCGTCGGGTCCCCACTCACCCGCGACGAGGACGCGCTCCGGGAAGGCACTGCGCGGCGCGAGGTGGCGGCCCAGGTCCCCGACCTGCCCCGCCCCGGCCGCGAGGCCCCGCCCCGGCCCGGCCCCGCCCGGCCTGGCTGGAAGCCGCGCCGGCGGGAGAGCTCGCTCCGCGCCTGCTCCCTTCTGCCTCTACCTCCCCGGCCGGCCCCGAGCGGCTCTGTGGCCCTGGTCCTTACCGTGGCCGCCGTGCCGGCCGTGTCACTGGCAGGTCGCTTTTTCTTGAGACTCACCTTTCCCGTTTGTAAAATGGGAAAACAGAGACCGACCTCAGAGAGGGGAACTACAGCGCTTGATAGCAAAGCCCTGAACGCCGTCCCACACAGTAGCCCTGGGCTCCCATCGCCAGAGGAAATCCCCAGCCACTTTAACTGGTGCCCGGGGCAGGAGGCAGGCGGAGCTCTGAGTCCCGGCTCAGACACTCTGTGACTGGTTCTCTCAGCCTCCATCTGCTCATCTGTAAAATGGGCACAACATCGTGGGACTAATGAGGATGCCACAGGTAATGGGGCCGGCCGCCCTGCAGACGCTCGGCACTCAGTGAGGGGAGACTGCAACCGTCACGGTCCAGAGGTGGCCTCCAGCTGGCCGGGACACACCCTGATGGGCACGGCACCTCCAGCAGCAGGCCTTGGACCCCTCAGCTCGCCTGTGGGTGCTGCTTTATCACTGCAGCCCGGGGGCTGTTCTGGCCACCTTGGGCTAACTTGGTCAAGCAGGGCCCCTCAGCCTGCAGGAGCCGAAGTGGCCCAAACCGATCCTTGGGGGACCATGTGAACTCTTGTCACCAACCATAGCGGCTAGCCTCCTGGGCGGCAGTCGGAAAAATTAAGCCCTGCCGTGTTGGCCATTGTGAGCCTTTCCTGCTTCAACTGCTTTGATATAAAGACAAGCATAATCCAGTCTGGACTGTTTCTTTTTCTTACGATTTTATTTTTTTTTAAGATTTTATTTATTTATTTGACAGACAGAGATCACAAGTAGGCAGAGAGGCAGGCAGAGAGAGGGAGGGAAGCAGGCTCCCTGCTGAGCAGAGCACCAGATGCGGGGGCTCGATCCCAGGACCCTGAGATCATGACCTGAGCCAACAGCAGAGGCTTTAACCCCCTGAGCCACCCAGGCGCCCCTTTCTCCTGATTTTAAAAGAAATTAAAACATTTCCCTGGGTCCCTGAAAGTATTGTGGCCCCAGGCACTGCGCCCGCCCTACTGGATGAACTCGGTCTGGCCACACCTCCCAGCAAGCTGCCAGCCCTCACCCTCTTCCTGTAAGGAGGTGCCTGTGGCTTGGCCAAACGACGACACCCTTACCTCCCCCAGAAGACCCGAGGGAAGGAGACAAGGCAGCTTCCTCCAGCCTCACCCCTACTACACATGGGGCTCAAGGAAATTTCTGCCCCCAAGTGTCTGCTGCATGCCAAGGCCAAAGGGAAGGGGCCGAGAACAAACACTCGAGGCTCCCTGCCCTCCTGAAGCTCACACAACCTACGGGTCGGAGGGGTTCACACTGGAGGTCTGCATGCAGATGCTCCCCCCACTGGTCTTGGAAGCTTCCCCTTACAGCTTTCTCCCTCCTGTCCAACTTGACGGACCCCTCCCGAGCCTGGGGAGCAACCACTGTCCCTCCTCTGAGCAGCAGCCGCAGCCCCCAGCTGGCCCCCAGCCCCCCTCTTGTTCCTGCCACTCCCCTCCTCTGCCGAGGACCCTCCAAAGCTCCCACTACTTAGGGTCCTGTCCCAACCTTTTCCCCTGGCCCTGAGGTCAAGCTGACCACCCCACCCTTTCCCACCTTTGTGCCCCTGTCTAGGTCACCCCCGACCCCACCCCCACCCTGGGCAAGTCCACATGTCTGAGTTGGATGGCTCTCCAGTGTCCTGCCAGAAAGCTCTTCCAGAACCCCAAGTCTGGGCCACCCCCATTCTAAGTGGGCAATGACTTCTGAACTCCATAGCACTAAACACAGAGCCTCTCTTGGGCATTTGGCATATATACTAAGCATCTCAGGTGGCCAGGTCTGGGCCGAACCCTAGAGGATTTGACACAAGCAAAACCTACCTATAGACTTGGTTGATCTAGGAACAAGGAATGGAAACACCCTCCCAAGCCCTGGAGGATTAACCCCACTTCACAGGCTCAGAGAGGATAAGGAACATCCCAGGGTCACACAGCTGGTCAGCCTTGGAGTCAGGATTCCCATTCAGGCACCCCCCAGGATCTGCACCGGTGGGTCATTCAGCTTCCCGTTTCCAAGTGTGATTCAAGTACAGTATAGCCTTGTATTTTATTTATGTGTTTACTTAATTACATGAGTAACCCAAATTTATTGCAAAGGAATTGGAAAACACAGAGGAAAAAAAAAAATAAAGCAACTTCCTCTCCCACCGCCTAGAGCAAAGTACTGTCAACACTTCAGTGAGTGTTTGCATGACTTTTTCTTTTTTTTAAAGATTGTATTTATTTATTTGACAGAGAGAGAGCGACAAAGCATGAGCATGGGGAGAGGGAGGGCCCGAAGGAGAGGGAGAAGCGGACTCCCTGCTGAGCAAGGAGCCCAAGGTGGGGCTCAATCCCAGGACCCTGGGATCATGACCTGAGCTGAAGGCAGACACTTAAGGACTGAGCCACCCAGGTGCCCCTGCATGACTTTTTCTAAGCATATCACACCTATCTTTACAAGAATGCCTTCATGCTACAAATGATTTTATAATTTTTCTTCCCCTTACAATAAATCAGATGCCCCTTTCTACAGTAACAAACATTTGCTGCCTTGGTTTTCTTAATTGTGAAATGCTCCATACAAGCAGAAATGTATATAAAACACTGTACGCCTTAAAATAATACTGAAAAGACACTTGCGTGTCCACCCCCCAGGTTAAGGAACAGGTGAAATGGCCCAGGGGCTTCCTGGTATTCTCTCTGCTCCGTTTACCCCAAGGTCACCTCTCATTTAACTTGTGAGTTAAACATGACTTTGCTTTCCTTTAGAAATTTTTTGAGATTTCATTTATTTATTTGAGAGAGAGAGAGAGAGAGAGCGCGCGCGCACACAAGCAGGGGGAGGGGCAACCGGAGAGGGAGAAGCAGACTCCCTGCTGAGTAGGGAGCCCTCTGTGAGGCTCAGTTCCAAGACGCTGGGAACACGACCTAAGCCCAAGGCAAACGCTTAACCAACTGAGCCACCCAGGCACCCCACTGCTTTACTGTGTTTAATTTCCAAGAGATTCTTATTTGCTTTCTAAATGTTCTTTTTAAATATAACTTTCTGTTCATTTTTCATGGATACAGCCAGTTCTCTTACCTCTCTACTATCTGTGATAGTTTTCTTTTAAAAAAATTATTTTCTTCTCAGTATCTAAATCCTATGCACTGTGGGTTTTTTGTTTTGTTTTGTTTTCTGTTGTAAGAGGCTTTCCTCAGATGCTTGGGAATCCTTGGCTGGCTGCTCATGATTAGGAGGGAAGAAAATAAGTCTATGGACAGCATTTGTTGGTTTAGCATCACTGTAAGTTGGAACTTGGGGGGCCATTTGTCTGGGTACTTCCGGGACTGTCAATGTCTTTCAGATTTCTTCTTGGACTGGTCAGATTCTCCAGGGTCCCTCAGTCACTTGTGTGGAGGGTAAGGGTCTAGCTTTGGGTTTCTGGGAGCTTAGTGGGGGAGAACACCCCGCCTTCAGTATTCACCTGTTTTGGCGAAGTACCCACATTCACCACTGTCCCTGGCCCGTCCAGCCCTTTCCAGAGCTAAACCCCAGAAGTTTGCCAGAGTGAGGGAGGGGCACCACTCAGTGGCTAGAGACAGGGGTCTATAGATCTGTTCTTCAAAGACACCTTCAAATAATCCTCTTTATTTTAACCTTCTTTCACCCTTAGCTCTACAAGCGGCTAGAGCTGCCGGTCCCCAAGCCTTTGAGAAGGCTCTTGTATGGAGGACGGTGGCTCAGCTCTCCACACTGTCCAGAAGAATTTGGTTGTCCAGGGGGCCTGGGTGGCTCAGTGGGTTAAAGCCTCTGCCTTCAGCTCAGGTCATGATCCCGGGGTCCTGGGATCGAGCCCCACATGGGGCTCTCTGCTTAGCAGGGAGCCTGCTTCCCTTCCTCTCTCTCTGCCTGCCTCTCTGCCTACTTGTGATCTGTCAAATAAATAAATAAAATCTTTTAAAAATAATAATAATTTGTCAGTCTGGAGTCAGCTAAGTCAGGTAATACTGGTCTTCCAGCTTTTCAGCTTGCAAGGGTTCTTTCCTTTCCTGTTCTCCCAGTCCTTGTGGATTAGAAGGTTCCCCTCCTGCGGATTTATGGGCTTCTGCAGGCATTGTGAGCTCTGCTCATGTCTTAACCTGAGAATCTCCTCCGCGTCTTTGATGACCACAGAGTGGTATAGGTTTGCAGTAACCCGTTTAACGAATCTCCTCTCGTCGAATATAGGGCTTTTCCCCATTTTTTCCTTGTCAAAAGCAAGGCTGCATTGGCTGTTCCGAGAGTTAGGGCTTTGCGCATCCGATTCTTAGACAAACTCACTGAAGTCGCTTTGCTGGTGTAATTCCGTCTAGATCTTTCTCGTTATGAGTGTGTGTTGGGGCGTGGGGGTGTCTGTTGGTCTCCCCGGCCCGCAGGCAGGCTGGCAGGGAACGAGAGAGGAGCAGAGGGCAGGTGGGGGTGAGGGGGTGAGGTCGGAGTTAGCCCCCCGGGACCCCGCCTCCCCGCACTGCTCCGAAGCCCGGAACCCGTCTCGGATCCCGCTTCCGTCTCTAACCACCTGCGCCTCAAGACGTGGAGCCTTCGACCAGGGATGGAGGATAGCGGCACCCGCCATCGCGCTGCTGTGAGGCATCAAAGAAACTGATGTCTGAGAAATATCCCGGGCGTTGTCGGGGGGCGGATACGAACCGGCGGCTTCCACGGTCCCGTGCGGTTTGCAGGGGAGACGGGGGCAGAGCTGCTCGCTTGCGGACTGCACGGCGCCGCTGAGAAACCAGACGGAGAAGCAACGCGGAACCGTCTCAAACCCGCTCACAGGCGAGG